GCAACCAGAGAGGTGAATGCTGACAGTGGGGGTTCCCAGTGACTGAACTGGGGGTGGCATGATAGGAAATGAGGCCAGGAGCGCCAACGAGCCTGATAGAGTCTCAGCACGTGGGGATCATAGAACCTTTCTTCTCTAGGCTGGGGGCGGGGCAGGGGGACCGGTTGGTAGTTCTTACACTTGGGAAACAACAGGATTAGGTCCCTAATTTTATTTTATTTTATTTATTTTAGGTCCCTAATTTTAAAAGGTCAAACTGGTCACAGTGTGGCGGTAGGACTGGACGAGAGAGGCGCAGTGAGTACACCGGTGAGAGGAGGTGCTGGCCTGAGCGGATGCAGGGACCATGGGTTTGGAGAGGACAGGGGCGTGAAGACCAGAGAGAGGCCGTGGTTAACAATGTCCTGAAGGTAAAGCCAGCACAGGTGTAGGAGCTGGTACCTAGGGGGACTTTGGCTCTTTGGACATGAATAGAAGAGCTCATTCTGCTAAAAGGAGACTAATTGCTTTACTCTGTGTGGTTTATCCCACACAGAGGGTAGGAAAGACTAAGAAGGGAGGAGGGCGGGAGAGTGGGTGCGGATCACATGTTGGGCAGGAGCGCACACACAGTTCGCTGAATCCTTGCAGCCACCCTGAGAGGTGAGGAGACTCAGTTTACATTTATTTGCCTGAAGTTGCACAGCCAGTAAGGGATGGGGCCAGAAGTCAGTTCTGCACCTGTCCCCCTAGACTCCATTCTGAGCCCCTAGGAAGCTCTTGTCAGGTGAGGCCTCAGAGGAAGGTCATGTGGGCAGAAGCAGACCCGTGCTCTGGACTAAAGAATAGATTTTAAACGGCTGGAGGGCAGCCCCTGTTATAGGTCTCTGGTGCTGGTTGTGCTCCTATAAAGGGCCAGGGCACCTCCTCCCTCCCTCCCTGTCCCCTTCCCCAGCTGCCTGCCCCAGTCCTACCCCAGACACCAGCTGGGGTGAATGTATGGCAAGGTGGACCATTCGGTAATGTGCAGATTTTCTTCAGATAGAATGACCAGGATTCAACCCAAAGCTGCAGGGACTGTGGCCTGCCCTGTGGAGACAAAACAGAACATTTCAGATCCTGTAGGAGAGGCCTGAGGAAGGATCCGACAGCCTTGGGCTGAGGGCAGGGCTCCAGTCAGAGAGGTGCCCGGCTGGCTCCTTGTCTTGAGGCGGACACTGCACGAGAGATAAATTGAGCCCCTTCGTGAGCAGCTTTCACTAACAGGTAAATGACACCGCAGATCTCCCTTTACTAAAACTCAGGGTGCAGGAAGGGATGCACTCTCACTGCTGCTACTGTTCAAGGCTGGGCCCACGCTCGCGATGTAATAGTGAAAGGAAAGAAAGGAGGGATATAAGAAACTGAAACAAGGAGTCAGAAATCACTGCAACTGGCAGACACCATAATCACCTAGAAAGTGCTAGAGATCTCATTTTTAAAACCCCACAAGGAATAGGAAGAACACGTAATAAAATGTCTCATTTAAACATATGTAAGTATAAAGAGCTTCCCTATATACAATTGTTATTCTGAAGCCTCCCAGTAAAGTATTTCATGTTGACTTGTTATAACTAATATAGGCACTTGTGTTTTTCACTCCCTAATAAAGTAGTAGATCTAGGTAATTATTACTAATGGCATTCACATTACAATGAAGATAACCGGACATCATGAGACACTTAGATAAAAATACAAGGTAGGATTCTTGACCAAAAATGACACATACTTACTAAGCCTCTTAATTTAAATATCAAGTCAGAGGAAACACAGGGACAGGGGAACATGTAAAATGGCTCATGAGTATGAAATGAGCAACATTCCGATTGGGAAGCTCCACAGGAAAAGCAACCCAGCTTCTTTAACAAGTAAATTTTGGGGAAAAGGGAGAAAGGAAGACCCTTACAGACTAAAAGGGATTAAAGAGACATGTTAACCAATTTCAGTAAACAAACTGCATTTAGATCTTGATTCAAACAAATGCACTTTAAAAAATATTGATGACACAATCAGGGGAATTTGAAAATTGACCAGATAAGTTGATGAAACAAAAGAATGATTGTATCTCTTACAATTTCAGAGGCCACAATGGTATTGTGGTGAGCTTTCTGAAAAGAGTACTTATCCTTTAGAGAACGTTTAGAGATGTGCATGGCCGTATCTATGGGTTACGTACGCGCTTTGAAGCCTGGAATGCTGTGAAATGAAACAGTGGAGAGTTGAGGAGAAAAGAGCAAACCAGACTGCCCAGAGCTGATCATCGTTAAAGCTGAAAGACGGGCTCGTAGGGGAATTATACTTTGTTCTCGACCTCTGTATATGTTTAAGTTTTTTCATAATAAAAACTTTGAAAATCAACCAACCAACTAATCAATCAATATAGAGAAGCTAAACAACCATTTCTGCATGAGAGTGGCGAAAAGAATGGTTAACCAAAAATTACACAAATGGCCAAGAAACATTTTGAAAGAGGCACACCCTCGAATCATAACGAAAGAGATGGAAACAACGCCTTGTGCCCCGGAGGTGGGTGAAGATGAGGAAGTGTGACAGCGCTCGTTTGGGCTGCCGTGGGCCACGGGCCCTTACACCCACGGCCACACTGGGGACCAACGCGACCTCTGGCAGCCATGTGGCTGCAGCAACATGTTGAAGACAACCCCACTTCTAGGAATTTACCCCTCAGACATACTCAGATAAATATTCAAAAGGGCACGCGAGATGACACCGAAGCAGTGTCTGTTGATGTCAAAGCGGGAAACCCATGGAGAACCTAGGCTTCATCCCCATGACAGGGCTCTGTGCAGCCGTCAGTCCCCAAATG